AAATGACAGAATTTCTATTTTTTCAATGGCTGAGTAATATTCCTTTATGTGTGTGTATATACATACCCCATCTTTATCCATTCATCTGTTGATGGGCACCTAGGTTGCTGTCCTTTCTTCACTATTATAAGTAATGCTGTTATGAATCTTGAGGTGCATGTGTCTTTTTGAATTAGTGTTTTTGTTTTCTTGCAGTATATACTCAGCAGTGGAACTGCTGGACCATATGGTGGTTCTATTTTTAGTTCTTTGAGGACTCTCCATATTATTTCCCATAATGGCTGCACCAGTGTAAATTCTCACCAACAGTACATGAGGGTTCCATTTTCTCCATCCTCACCAGCACTTATTATTTCTTGTCCTTTTGATAATGGCCATTATGACAGGTGTGAGGTGATAGTTCATTATGGTTTTGGTTTGCATTTCTCTGGTGGTTAGTATTAAGCATTTTTTCGTGTACTTGTTGACTATCTGTATATCCTTTTTGGGAAAATGTCTGTTCATAGGTCTTCTGCTGTGACGAGTTATTTTGACCTTTTAATTTCTGATTTAGTTCTCAATGTCAAATATATTTTTAAAATATTTAATACTCTAGTAATTACTTTAAAAGATCAGCTAGGTTTTTGTTTATCCATCCTTCAAAACATTTGTAATTTTAAAATGTTTCAGTTATTCTAACAGTTTTAGGTCATCTTGGAGTAGACTGATATGTATAAATTAGAGCATGTTTAGGTTTTTAAAACTTTACCCGAGTTATTAATAGTTTAAAAAAAATCTTGATAATAACTGTAGGATGGGTATCATTACTTAAATGGACCAAGCATTAAGTTCTTTCTTGAAGAGATGACTTCCAAAAATTCGTATATTTATTCTCACTAGTCTTTTTTTTTTAAATAAGTGAGACTGTCTTACAAAATTTTCTTTACTTGTGGTTCACTGTTAATTAAGCATTTTATCTACATTTGTCTTAATTCCAGAGTGATTTAAATATAAATAGTATCTAAAATGCAAATCTGGATAAACTTTGATTAAAGTATTTACATGAAATTTTGAATTGTATTTGAAAATTTAAATTTTTATAAGCCTCTTTTGAGTTAAAATATTAACAATAAGCCATTTTATTAGCTTATTTAAGAAATTATTCCCTTTATTTTCTTAAAATATTTTTTTCCATTTATACATTTGCTTTGAAAATGAGAGACGTAAAAACAAATTCATTTCATTTTTTTGATTTGAAAAAGTAACCCAAAAGTAATGGCAACAGTAATATGTCTTTTGTTGATATAAAAATAAATACTTGATAAACGATTTAAATATTTTGAAAACACTTTTTTAAAGTAGCTATGTTTAATTTGTTACCTTTAACAGCACATGTTAGGAAAGATATCTTTTCTTAAGGCCTTACTTTAGCTAACAGTGTCTTATTCTTTCCTTGATTATTTTAAGTAGCCAAATAGTTTTAAGACTTCTGAAATAGAATGCATTGATCCTAATTGTCATTGTATTGTAGCCTACTCCAGTGGGTGCGGTTCAGCAGGATCCTGCTCTGTCATCAAACAGAGAACATCAACACAGAGAAAAGATGCAACAATCCAAAAATCAGGTTTGCTGCCCTTTTAAATATGAAATGTCTTAATTTGCTTTTAGTTTATAAATATTTTTGGTGTTTTACCATACCCAGATGACAGCTTCATGCATGTGTATTTGTGAGTGTATGTATGTGTGTGTGTATACATACATGTATATACATATTGAGGAATTGAAATACAAATTTTTTCTTTTATAAAATAGATTATATACACACATGTTAAGGATTGAAATATTTATATTTTCAGTAGATAAACTGTTTCCCCTAATGTTCACTAGTTGTTTAGTAGTCACGTTAAAAATGTTTAATTATACATTCCTAATTAGTGGTAGAAATTAGTAAAAACTGTGAGCAGTATTTGATATTCTGTTAGAATGGAAGTATTTGGATACCCTGATGGAATGAATTATAATAGCAGTTGATCTTTCTAACTATAGTCTAGTTTAGCGCAATAAATTATTTGCTGAGTTTCTGCTATTTGAAAGCTATTATTCTCCATATTGCAGAAATGCAGAAGTAAGGAAAATACATAACTTTCAAGAAGTGATTTTGTACTGAGTGACTAAGAGCTCACTCAGTCTTTAGAGTCAGTCATACCTGGATCTGACTTGACCCTGGGCAGATTACTCATTCGCTCAAAGCCTCAATTCTCATACGTAAAATAGAAATTATGCATGTTAATTCCTAGCATATAGTAAACTTTCAATAAGTCTCAACTCTCGTGGCTGGTGTTACTGTTATCATTATTACAGTAAATTCACAAATAACTACATTACAATGCAGAATAAATTCTATCATGTGAAGTACTTGAGTAAATTGCTGTGAGGATCATTGGAATATGTGGATCTATAAAGATTTTACAGCAAAGGTGGCTTTTGAGATGAGCCCTAAGAATGAATGGAGTTTTTAAAGGCAGGTGAAGGAATAAGAACATTATGGACAAAGTAAACAATAAAAAATACAAAGCAGAAGTTTAAAAGTATATTTAGTCTGAGGAGAAATAAGCACTTGGCTTGGAGCAGAAGGTATAGAAGGTTCAAGACAAGGTATAGAAGATTCTTTGAAAAGTCTGTATTTCCTGGGCAAGATAAATTGAAAGCTGTTGAAATATTTTAACAGTGTATTCAGTTTATTCTTTTTTGTATAAAGAAGCTTTATTGAAGCCATTTGGACATAAAAATGTTTGCTATCACCTTCAGTTAAACAGGGTTTTTAGAATTTTTGGTTGTAACCCTTTTTAGAGAAGAATAGTACATTATCCTTTTTCATTTTTACATCTTGTAGCCTATCAGAGTTCTGATGAGAGGTAAATAGGGAATAAAATCAAAGGAAAGAATACAACTTATTAAAAAAAATCACAAAATAGAATGATACATTTAGGGAATGTTTAACAATATTATGCTTTAAAGTATGGACAGTTTAAAAAGATTACTTCTAGAATTTTGCCTTAGATAAATTGGGACAATAAAGGGTTTAATAAAAATACAACTAGCTCTGATAAAATGCTGCATATGCAAGAGTGGAGTTTCTGTTGGATTCATCAGTTAATTTTTCAAAAATACATGGAAGAAGATCATGTTTTGTGAAGATCTCCACCTGAGCTGTTAGGTATTGTAATAAATAAAACTTCTTTTGTTGTTGAATTAAATTATAATTTAAATATTGTAGAGTTTAATTTTCTGCATGTTGCAGATGTGTCTTGCTAGCTAGATTGTGAGCTCACTGAGAGTGGGGACCATATTTTCTTCATGTAGTGCTTGTTGCACTAAAAGTAGGGAGTCTTCCCCCCCCCGCCCCCCAAGGAAATCCTTTAGGATAGCTTATATATTGAATTTGAAACCTGGATATGCAGATTGTTATCATGATAAATGTATATCTAGAAAAATTTCATTAAATATCTGAGATACAGTTAACAGTTTAAGTTGTGTGAGAAACCCATAGGTCACAATTCCAAAAGAAGAAAAAAGTTAATTCTGTAAATGACTGAAACTTTCGTAATGTTCCCAAATAACCAATTTTAGCTTAGAGTCAGTGGTTGACGTTCAGGGGATCCTGAAATTTTATAGAAAGTGTTGAGTGCATGCAAGTGTTTAGTCTATGGAGAGATTGTATAGCATTTACTGTCTTCTTAGAGAGGTCCATGACCCCCAAATGTTACCTGCTGTCCTAGGCAACACTAGACATTTGTCTCAATTGTAGCATCATTTTCATTCTTTCATCTTGTTTAGATCTGATCTCACCTAATTTATTTCACTTTAAACTATAAATATGCTAAATTCTGATGTTGTAAGTTTGGAGAATTTAATGAAAAGACATTATAGAATTATTGTAATTGTTTTGATGACCTGATTCATACCACAGAGTATGTAGTTTTTCATTGTACAGTTTAATTTAAGAAGCTTATTGCTGAAACATTTGTTCCTTTTCTCCTTGATTTCCACATCTCTTCTCCCAAAGGGTTTCCTGGCCACTGATGTGCTTAGGCTCCCTGTAGCTCATTGTACTTGGCACTTTGTGGCCAGATTTTCTTTACTTTGTTAGAAAGAAAGAAAGGAGCACTGAAATCTTTCGAATGTAATGTAATTGTGATAAGAAGCTGAGTAGTAGTATTGGGTGATGCAAAAGGCTTTGAGTTTGAATCCCTGCTGTACTCTTGGCTGTCTCTGTGACGTTAGAGGAGTTTTTAATGTCACAGTGTCCTCAGTAAAATGAGGATAAAATGCAGAACTAAACATGTAATAGAACCTTAAATATTGTATTCCTTCCCCTACTTATTAGTGCTGTGCACATTTTTGTGAAATATAGAAATTGACCCCTATTAAGCAATTACTCCTAATTCTGTTAGTAAATTATTACTAGTTTATGATTATTGCCATGAGTTTTCCAAGTCATCTAAAAGCTTCAAGAATTACCAGCCTGTTTCATGAAAATGGGTTTCTTATTTTGACCCAGATAAAAAGAGATGAAGGAAGCAAAAAGATTCATATATGAAAAATTGTCACTTAAAATAGTCATATTCTCATGATATTTTGTATAGCACTCTCACTTTTCAGAGAACTTTTCTCATTTCTCATATTATGTTTCACAATCAAAAATAGGGGACTAAGCAAGAAAAGTTTTCTAGGACCTTAATTAAGTGTATCTACTTAAGGACTATTTTTTTTCAACCTTGCCAGAAGTAGTTCCTCATCAGAAAACCACTGGGGGCCTCTATATAGTGGGTGACTTTTTAGTACATTCCATGACTTATTTGGAGTGCTTTCTTGACCATGTCATTTTTACTACCCTAGTTCGGTTAATTTCATTTGACAAAGATAAAGAGTGGAGATTGTGATATCTAAAGTCCTTTCACTTCTAAAATTCTGTGGTTCTGTTTTATTTTTATGGTTGATTATTACATAACTGTAGCAGTTTAACGGAAATCTCTCCACATTCAGTATGCAATGATAGCTGCATCTGTGACTCAGAATAGTAAGGATATTTTTAATTTCCTTTTATACATTTGTTTTCTATATAATAAGGATGAGATGTTTAACATTTTGGGTTTCTCTTCTTCCATGCATGCCACATGCATTAAATAAATGGCAGTCGGCAGACCACAGGGCAGCTTGGGACTCCCAGCAGGCAAATCCCCATCATTTGAGAGCTCACCTTGCAGCAGACAGACATGGTGGCTCGGTACAGGTATTTTCTGATTTTTGCATGAGTGATTATTTCCCAGATTTATACAACTAACCCTTTTTGGAACTCATGGCATGATTTCATATCCTAATGAAAAACTTGTTGCTGAACTCTCCATAATTCTATTCCTTTGTATTTAACCAAAAAGCAAAATTAACATGGTCTAGAAAGACCACCAGGGATACTATGATTTTGCCTTTGTTCATTTTTCCAAGTATCTACAACGATATTTAAGTAAGTCATATTCACAGCAGGTTAGAAAAACAAAGTATATTACTTGAATATGTGTTAAACTTGATTTTCCAATAATAAGCTGAGCCTTTTTTAATGCTTTTAAGAACATTTTAGTATCTTTTCCCTTTCATTGATTTTGCTTCCTTCAAACCTATGTCAATTAAGTAGATATCTAACTATTTATCCTTAGTCCTTAGAATGTACTTTATGATTAACTGGTCAAACAAACATGACCCTAATTTTTATAATGGTATATTTTGTTTGTACATGCAGAAAATATCAGATGGAGAAAATAATTTCAAAGATTTGTATTTATTAAATATTTCCTTCAATTTTCTGAGTATTTACAAAAATGTAAAACAGTTCCTCATTTTTTCGATGTGTTTCTTTTTTTCCCCTTTTCTGTACACTTAGAGATAGGTACTATATTCTGCCTTCATGTGTCCCCTAAATTTTAATCTTTTATATGTATTAGAGAAGTAGAGAAAGATTACTGAGCCTCTTATTTCTTTTAAAATGTCAATTCAAGGTAATGTGAATGCTTGGTTTAAAGTAATTGACATGATAAATGTATCTCAGTCCATTTTTATTTAGAACCGATTTTTAAATTTTTAATTTTTTTTCCTCCACATGTTCCCACTTGAATAATTTTATTTTACCAAATTTGCATTTTTCTTAGCATATATACTTAATCTGAATTTATGCTTGGATTTTATTCTTTCTTGATTTGTATTCTAAAAGTCAATTCTTAGTTAAATCTTACAAGTTATCATGTTTTCCCAACATTAAATTTTAGAGGTAATTTAAATTACATAACCAGATATTTTCATAGAACTTTGTAGTCTATGGAACTTTCAATCATGTAGTACATGTGAACTATTTGAACAGCACCATAAAAGTCTAGAGTGAGGGTTTCAGAGGCAGGGGTTCCTGAAGTGTAAAAAAAGAAAACAAAAAAAAAAACTGTGACCCAAATTAATAGTTAATTGAGCAAACTATGTTTAATTTGCGTAAAGAAACTGGATTGGATATGTGTCTGTATTCGTTTACATGTTTCTAAGTGTTGTCTATTATTATAGCAAGTGTGTTGCTCAGTGCTCAGGGAAATCTACAATTAAGACACTATTAGAAGCTTTCCTACCACTTCTGTACCATTACCACAAATTTGTCTTCTTTATCTTCTTCTTACTCTATGGAATTTCCAAACGTGGCTCATGGGATCTCTTTGGACCATCAAAGGATGAATGAGTTTGATTATGGACTTAGCATTCCAATACTTTATGTTCTATTTTTTCACAAGTTTTCAGAAATATATTTCAGCTCTGCTCATTTCTCATCATCTCTTTAAAACTTGTCTGCCTTGTAGAGATTATATCTCTGGCTTTATTCTAATATTCAAAGAATGATTGATTTTACTTACTAAAATTCTGGTAGTACATAAGTAAAACAAAAATTTTTACACTATTTTTCATTGACTTCCTGAATATATTTTACAACATTAACTAACATCATATGATGAACATTAATGTAGTTTGACTGTCGAAAAATTTGCTGGCAGCCTAAGTTAGATCATGCCTAAGTATTACCCCACTCCAAAATATTGAATGTATTTATAATTTTTGTCCTACCCACTTTCAAAATTTGAAAAGTTGTAATATGGCACTTGTATAATTGGACTAATGAAATTGTAATTTAAAAATTAATAATAATAAGAGGAAAGGAAAGTACCTAAAATCTAAGTTAATGTGATTATTATAATAATTGAATACTATATTTGACTCTGAATGAAGAAAGGAAAACAATGCGTTCTTTCATTCTCATCATTGGATAAAGAAAGAGGAAAACTCTTTTTACTAAACAAAAGTATGAGAAGAATTTGCCTTGAGGTTTTTTAGATGGTTGTTAAACCACCTGTTGGACAAAGTTTCAAGCATTGGCTTTGCAGGAGATGCAAAGACTTTATATGGCAACTTAAAAAAGTTATCCTCAAAAATACTAAGGGCATATCATCAAATAGTTTCTCAGAAAAGACATTTCCATAATATGTAGATTTCTATCTGCTAATAAAGTGTGGTATGGATTTAGGATATTCAGAAACAAAATCGGCAGTTACCCAGAACCAGCCATTTGGGCCTCAGGCATTCATTCCTCATCTGTCACTGCACTCTTTTTCATGGAACTGAGAATTGCTCTCAGTATGGCACTGCAAAGCATTCCAGGCTGGTTCTGGTTGACATGCATGATGACACCTCTTGCCGTTTTGATCTACATAAAAATCCTCAGATGGTTATTTTAGATGTGCTTTTAATAGGAACTGAACATTGGAGTCTAAAATTGAGCTCTTTGTCTTTCCTGAATTATTATTTGTATTAGATATGACATACAGTTTACCAAGTTGATTTCATTGTAGTTAACAGCATAAGCTCTGAAGTCAGATTTGAGTTCAAGTTCTGTGCCTCAGATTGAGTATTGATCAGTAAAATGGAGGTATTAATAATAGCTCTATCTCATGGTTTTATTAATAGTAGCTCTACCTCATGGTTTTGTTGAGAATTTTTTTAAGTATTTAACATAGAGGCTGGGGCTTAGGAAGTACTAAGTAGAATAATCTATTGCTTTTGCAAATTAAGAAACTTGCTGAGTATTTTTATTCATCTCCGAGAAGTGAAGTGTAGAGACAGCCAAAAGAATGCATTGTCAAATGGAATTTATCTAATTTTATTCTGTCTCTTCAGTGAAATCATGTTAATTTACTAACCAGAAGGATATAGCTATACACTTGATAAACTTTTCCCACTCAGGAAAACTAAGAATAATACTCAGATATCTAAAGACTTTATTTTGAATCTGTTCTTGGCTTGTATCTGTTTTAGAAAAGCTCCCAGAGGAATCGAGTGTGCCCCTCCCTGCTTCCCTTAGAATCATCAGTAATAAATATGGCTGGGAAGCTTAGACCTACCACTTTCAGTTCCTTGGCTTTTCATTATTCAGCAAATATATACTTAAATGCCTACTAGGTGCTCGACTCTGTGCTAGGTTCTCTGAATAAAAGGAAGAATAACAGATATGATGCCTGTTCCCATAAAACCGTGGGAAAGGCTAATGCACAGACAGTGCGATAAATGGAGAAAGTACGAGGTGCTATGAGAATGCATAGGAGAAGCAGGTTAAGATTTCCTAGAAAAAGTGGTATCTATTTATATTCTGGTTTTTTGGGGGGCAATTAGGTTTATTTATTTATTAATTTTTAGAGGAGGTACTGGGGATTGAACTGAGGACCTCGTACATGCTAAGTATTCTGTATTTTCACATGTTTTCAAAGTGAAGAATCAATAGGAGCTAGCAGCTGAAGACTGTAGAAGGGGTCTAGAGAGACGAGTGTCCCAGGCAGAGAAAACAGTCTGTGAAGGGTGTGGAGGAGAGGACGAATTGAGGGATTGAGTGCAGTTCTGTCAAGCTGGTGTGTGTTGAGAAAGGAGACTGAGAGGTGGACAGGAGGCAAGTCATGAAGGACCTCATGGGTCTTGTTATTACATTTGGACTTTAATCAAACCAACTTGATTAGATTAGTGTTCTCTGAAGATTACTTTCGCTGGAGATGAGATTGAAGGGAGACAAGTCTAAGGCAAGGACATAGCTCTCAAAAGTCCACAGCTGAGGAGAAATGATGGGCAGTGGAGAAGAAGAGAAATAAAAGGACTCGAAAGGTAATTAGAAGATAGAATTTAGTCAGGTATAGGGGCTGAAGAGAAGGAAGGACTCAGTTACGCTTTTTTGTATGTTTCTATCTGGCAAATCTGAATTTCCACAATTAGGTTTTAAACTGTACCACTGGCAGCAGATAGTGCTAGTCTCTAATTCCACTCTGGCTGAGCCTTTCTTTGTAACACAGTGCCATGGAGCTTGATGCTAACTATAAATCTGATCCTATAAAGCTGAGAGGTCATTGCAAGCAAAGGGAAGAAGACAGCTATTAAGGGCACTATTGAAGAAACTTTCACTTGGTGTGGCATACCTTCTGGTTGTCTGCAAAGCTCCTCTAGCCGAACAGCCTTGTTTGCATTTAAGGAACAATGGGACGCTGGGAAAAGGGGGGCAGAATCACAAGTAGTGAAGATATGTTATATAACCAGGCACTATTGAAGTAAAGAATAATGTTAATTGTTATAATAAGCAGTCTGATATTTTAGTCAGTATCACTTCAGAAATACAGATACAGGTTATGATGACAGAAGAAGAATTAGACAGATGTGTCTTGAAATGGTAAGAAAACACATGTAGGTAAAAGTTAGAGGAGTAATGGATGTCGTATCTCAGTCAGTTCTCCATTATGCTAATTGTTAATGCAGACCTTTCTAGCACATTTCACATAACCAGTTTCAGTTTTCTTTATCAGATCTTCGAAAACACAGAGGTACTAGCGAGGAAAAGAAACTGAGTGACTGATACAACCATATCTTTCTGTTCATAGTTTTCTGAGATACAAAAGTCTGTAAAAGAGAGGACATGGAAGGAGAGGCGTTACATGCCTTTATTACATAAATAATTTCCAGTTCCTCCTTTTTAGTTTAATTTGGGAAATTCCTTGTTTAGTTATCACTGGGGTCAGCATTACACATTTATTTTGATATTGTTTTATAGTAAAATTTATAGTAACATCTCAAAAGACTGGAATCCTCAAAGAATATAGTGCTCTGCTTAATACTTCTGTAAGTGAACATTAGATTGAGAATCAGTATTGGTTTTTCTTTGTTGATAGTCGGTGGGAATGTCTCTGTGCCTTTGGGTCATCAGTTGGAGTATTAAGAATATCAGTTATAACTCTGTAGCTTTTAGAATGTGTTAGAAAGTTGGTTTCATTTAGTACATGTGAATCCTAGCACAGGTCCAGTAAACTCCTTGGAAATTAACTCTTTTAACTATATCTTCTTTACTAGTGTGCTTTCTTATAAGTGACTTTTAGAAAAAGCTGAATGTGTAAGTAAAATATATAATCATTTAATATATCTAACGTATTTCTGGATAGGTGAAAATCTGGTTAATATTGTGCTTCTACTGAGTACTTGGTAACGTGCTTACAAGTATTCAAAGAGAAATTAGGAAGATAGTAGTATAGCTAATGTGTTTGAATTCATTATATTTGGAAACTATATTAATTGGCCTTTTAAAATCATTGATTATGAAGATACCATGTGTTATCTTTGTACTCAAGTCTATGAGAATGACTTCTTTTGAAATTAGATTGGGCAGGCAGCCAGTAAGTGAAAACCACCATTTTTCTCCCACACTTAACTGCAAGCTGTTTCCCCACCCTCTTCCCTTCAACTCTGATATACTGATAGTAAACTGTAGCCTAGTTGCCTTTTTTTTTAACCTCTTAAAATAAGATTTGCACTTGTTTTTTTTTTTTGTTTTTTTGTCATAGTGGGAATAACAGAAAATTTCTTTAAGAATGAGAAAACAAGAATTCTGTAAAACACCTGATTTTTTTTTTTGAAATGTCAAACCTCAAAGCATCTGTGATTTTAGATATAGTTTCATTAAGGAAATTAGACTGATAAATACTAATATTTCACAGACTCTTATGTTCTAGTTTGAGTTATAATTCTAGAAATGTCACCTAAATGGAATCATTCTTCACAATTTGGCTTACAGAAATAATTTGTAATGTGTGTGTTTGATTGATTGATTACTTTTGGTTTCCAAAAATATATTCATGCATTATTTATAACATTATTTCTTTATTTCTTCTTGTAAAATCCATTGGTAAAAAGACCAGTACTTTAAGTGGGAATAATTTTAATGCCATGATACACTCAAAAGTCACTGGTATTAAGTGGATCAGCTTCACAGAACTGTGTTACCACATTCTCTTCTGACCCTGGGACATTGGCCTTTACTCAGAGGATTAGGGAATCTGGGAAGCCCAGGAAAAATTACATTAAAAAATTGCATGAAGTCAGACTTTATTTCCTTTTGATTTGATTCTGATCAACCAGATATAATGGAATTTGAAACATTTCACTAAAATAAAGTTTATTAAAGTCAGGTATGATTTTGTGTGAAGTGAAGTAAATCAACTATATAATTATAATACATATATAGTTACTGTTGATGGAAATTTAGAGTACCTGAAGTTCAAATTTTCATGCTGCTTAAAGTAAGGGAAGACACATTAGAGAGGCTTCTTATAAGCGAAGGGGGTTCCTGCCAACTATGTAGGGCCATTGAACAAAAGGGCAAAAAGAAACCTATTGAATATTATGTTAAGGAAAACAATGGAAATTGTTTAGTGAACTGTTTCGATTATCCGCATCCACTTTGCTAGTTAAAGGTGGTGGAGAATATAAGAGTTTGAGGTAAGAATTCTGCTTTCTAGCTCCCTTCCAATTCAGTGTAGGGGCTCTGACATTTTAAAAATGAAAAATAAAGAATCAAATTATATTCAGTAATTAGAAGTATTTTTGAATGTTTTCAGAAAAAGGGAAAAATAAAGAGAACAAATTGACACAGAACTCAATAGAATGACAAAAAAGAGGCAGCGAGTGCCCTGGAAGCGGAGAGGATGACTAGGACATAGGGACTAAGACACAGGAGTATTTCCCCCCTTGGGCTGCCTCTAAAGACAATCAAGGCAGTTGTGTGTTTTCGGCTGTAGGTACAAATGCAGTGTTCGTTTCTAAGTATTTGTTCTATGTAGGATATAGGAAACTGAACCTCCATAATTCATGAATTAATCTAGATATGTTGATTGATTTCTGGTTATTTTCCTTGTACTGGGGGGAGAGAGCCTCCTCCACACTAAACTATTAAGTCACAGGGCAGGGATGTTTGTTTGTCTTGTCTGCTGTGGTATTCCAAGTTCCTGAAACAGTGCCTGGCATGTTGTAGCCTCTTAATTAATTAATTAAGTAAGTAAGTTCTAGAAATATAGGTCTCTGTAAATGGTAGTCTTAAGTCTAGTAGTCAGCTGTCAACTCTGATACTTAGGTCTTTGATAAAAGAGGTCAGAAAGGGAAAGCATCAAAAATAATTCTCAGATTTTGAACCTAGAGGTCTGGGAAGAGGGTAGGGCTTGCCTTAATAGAAGTAGGAACTATAGGAAAAGTAACAGATTTTAGAGAGAGTATGGTAAATTTGGTTTTGGAAATACTGAGTGAGGAGCCAAACTTGGTCTAGCTAACTGATGATGTATCTGAGTGGTTAGGCTTAGAGAATCCTTCACATAGAAGTGATAGCTGAAGCTGTACTTACAGGTCAAGCTGATAGTAATAATGATGGCCACCATTTGTTGAGCTCTTACTATATGCCAGTCACTGTGTTTTATACATTAATTTCATTTCATCCTCATGTCAACCTTGTTAAATAGTAAATAACCTGTTTCCGATTTCGTAGTTGAGAACACTGAGGTTTAGCAAAGTAACGTGTCTTTCCCAGGATCTCGTAGCTGGTAAGTGGTAGAACTAAGTTTTGAATCTAGACCTGTCTTACTCCGAAGATAACAGCTGATACTAAGTGAGAGAGAGATGTGCAGCGAAATGAAGACTGAACAAAGACTACTAGTATGTTTTCTAGGAATTGGTAACCTTCAAAATAACTCTCACTTGAGTGCTGATGTAGGGACAGAGTATAGATTGGAAGGAGTTAAGGGAAATATGAAGAATCTTGTAAAAATGGAAGTGGTAAGTTAAGATGATTGTTTTCAAGAAGTTTGGGGAAAGCAAGAGATCAGACAGTAAGGCGGCTTAGTAGGACCAAGAGAACTTGAGAGAATTTGGGAGTTTTGTTACGGTTTTTATCTTGCTTGAAGATTACATACATACATGCATGTATTCATTTATTTCAGCAAATATTTATTGAGTGCCTGTTCTGTGCCAGGCAGAGTGGGGAGATATATCAGGGAACAGTACAAGGCTCTTGCTGTTACGGGGCTTAATTTTAATGGAGGTGGAGGTGGGTATCAAGAAACACATCAATCAGTCAATCAATTAATCAGAAGAACATCAACCTGGATGAATGTTATACAAAGAATTAAAAGTGAAGTATAACGAAGTGTGTCTGCATGGAAGCTTTAGATTGTATATTGGAGAAGTCCCGTCTCAGAGATGTTCTCTGAGAATCTGTCAATAAGCAGGAAGAGAATTCCAGGCAGTGAGAGTAGATCATGCCAAGGCCTGAAGGTGGAAATAACTTGACATACTGGGTGAGGGCTAGTGAGCAAGGTGGGATAGAGAGGTAGGCAGGATTCAGATCTTGAGGGTCTTTGTAAACTGGGGTAAAGAGTATGGATCTTTATTCAAAAAGAAACCAAGAAGTCGACACTTGAAGAGTTTTAAGCAGAGAGTTATGTATTATCTAATTTACATCTTAAAAGGAGTACCCTGATTGTTGTGTGGACAATACATTAATGGAGGGTGGATCCAAGTATAAGCAGACCAGTTAATAGGTTTTTGCTCTTCTTTACTCAAGAGATAATGGTGGCCTAGACTGCGGTTCTAGTAGTCATAGAGTGGGGAAGACCAGTTGGGTTGGGGTGTGGGTCAGGAGAGGATTTAACAGGATCTGCTGATGGTTTAAGTCAAAGAGAGGAATAACAATGACTCCTGGATTTGGGGCTTCATCAACTGGGGGAATTAATGGGCAGCATGACAGGGAGACCTGATCATGGTTACAGATTGAAATGAAGGATCCATTGGGAAGAGCAGTATTGAAGTTTGCAAAGGAAGTAATTCATGATGTAGCAAGGTACCAAAGGAGATGGGCACACAAGATGGAACTGATTGAGTTAGCCCTAAAAACCAGAGGACAGAAGACAGAAATTTCAAGATGAAAAGGAAGGAAGTTGAAAAGCAAATATTGGATGAGCTTATGTTTAATAAAATGTAGAGTAATTAATATATTCAGTTATGAACAACTACATGCTAATTGTTTTGTGTTTCTCATATTAACTTTCTAATTTAAATACTTTATGTTTATCATTGTATAACCTATTCCTTTGTGTGTGCTTGTGTATTTGTGTGTATATATATATATATATGTATTTTTTTCTTTTCTTTTTTTTTCAGGTTGTAAGTTCCACAAATGGAGAGTTAAACACAGATGACCCTACTGCAGGACGTTCAAATGCACCCATCACAGCCCCTACGGAAGTAGAAGTGATGGATGAAACCAAGTATGTCTTGGTTTGGCTTGTCTTAGTAACTTTTTTCTTAAACTGTGCATGTTCGAGATTTATAGTCATGTGCAATTATTTCAGGAAATTTTTTCAAGGAATAGGTGCATGCAAAAACAAGTGGTATGTTTAATTATTTTAATCACTAAGTATAAAACAGTGCAATTTCAGTAAGTAGTTTAATAATGCAAAAATAATTCTTTTAGAACTGTGCTTAAATTCTTATTTAGAGTTAACAACATATTTTTAGCTTTTTATTTTTAGGAATTTTGATGCATGAAAGTTACTGCTACACCATAGATGCTCTTTTTTTTCTGGAAGCATAAGAATAAATAATTATTCATTTTGTAGTATGCTGCATGCATTAATACTAGTTTTAAATTGGTTTTTTGGTAAATGTAAATTGTAATAATTCCGCTTGGAAAAATACTTAGCATGAAAAACAATGTGATAATTTCAATGTGGGCAGTTTCTGATGATCTCTCTCTCTCTCTCTCTCTCTCTCTCTCTCTTTTTCCTTCTATTTTCTTCTTTTTTTTTGTTTTTTGTTTTTTGTGTATAGCTGCCAGAAAGTGTTGAACATGTGGTGAGTTCTTAAGTGTAGGCAGGCAGAAATAGCTCCGTTGACTGTAATTTCAAAGCTTTAGCACCATTTTGTGTTTCTTAAAAACAAACCTTTCAACATAGAAATTGTAATTGGTAAAAGTGTCCAAAAGTACTTGATATCATTTACATGAGCTATGAAAAGCAAGAAATAATTGTTGGAGGAGCTCTTTTGTCTGCTGCCACTTTTTTGCTTCACGTGACATAGATCTGGGGCACTGTTTTATCGAGTAGATGATACACCAGTCCTGCTTGTGCTTGTGCGTTTGTTTTGTAACACAAGGCTTTATTTGCTATTTTAAATTGAAAGACAAGTTTTTGAGTTAAGATTTCTTTTTTCCTGTTTGTAGCTGTTAAATACACAAAGCAGACCTCCCTGCACCTCTGCGATAGTTTCACTAAAACATTTCACTTGCTAATTATATTGCCATCGAATACACATGGTTATATGCATTGATAAAGTTCATGATATAGTGAGTGTTAAAAAAAATCCTCATCTAAACAGTTCCTGTTAATTACAGATATTATGAAAAATAATATTCTTATCTGTTGAAATAATGTTGAACTTAAACTATTTTCTGATATTTGCGTTTAGTTATAATGCTCGATTTATTATGTTTCTCTCAATTTTAGGACAAAGTTTGAGTCAGCCTTGGAGTGAATGAAGAAAGTTGTTTAGACTAGTAAATTATGGGATATTCAACTCATATCCAAAAAGAACCTTACATACTTTCCAAAACAATGCTCATTTGGCGGCTGCAAGATGAGGAAACTTTTATGGATATTTGTTTTCAAAGAGTAATGATCAAGTCTCCATCCTGATCAGTTTGATTGTGAAATTTATTCACAATATAACTTAGTTTAGTGGGTTTCAGGATGTAACGAGTCAGCTACATGCTTGTGTATTTTTACGTCAGAAATAAAAACAACAGTTAATGTGTGCTTGTGCCATCCTGGGAACTAAGCGCAGTTAGAGAAATAGGGCGGCCTGTGGCAGATAAGGATGCATGTGTCTTTTGCAATTAAACATAGATTGTATGATCCTACGCCTGCCACTGTTCATTACCTTCTTCAGGCTTGTTTCTTCTTCTGTAAAATAAGGCTAATAATATCTGCCTCGTAGGTTGTTAAAAAAATTAAGCGTCACTAGTATTTTGTCTGGGACGTGGCAGGTACCCAGTTGCTATGATCTCCCTTATTTGCGTCTCCAATTCCGGCTGCCAATGACCGTTCTCATCTGTGTTCTTCCCAGACGTGTGCTCCTTCCATCAGTGTTTCATATTTTCACTTCCATACCCACAGTCTTCACTGAAACTGGCTCTTCTGTGTTTGCATCCTCTTCGAGCCCTGCTTTCAATCAAATCTATTATTTTCCCATGTATTCATTCAACAGTGACAGTGCTTGGATTTCAGAAATACGTGGTACTATGCTTGCCTAAAGTAGATCACACACCAGCCGGGATAATTGCAGTCATATTAGCATTTATCAACGTATGATAAATACTATGAAAAAGGTATGAAAAACCCATTAGAGCTTGTAAAGAAAAGCACTACTTACTGACAAGATGATCAGAGAATGCTTTGTGGGGGTGGCTTTGAAGAATGGCAGAATAATTTATTTAGTTGAGATGGGCGTGAATATGTCTGTGGTTTGGGTTTCTATCTGTAGTGTTGGTAGATGAGAATTAAGGGAGTGGCGAGAGGCTGTTCCTGAAGAAAGCTTTCTCTTTTTCCTAGAGCATCAGGCCCGGATCACTCGGCATGGCACCAGGCCTCTCACGCCTTTCATGCCTCTCATGCTCTGGCCCCTGCCTGTCTCTCCCAGCCTCGTGTTCCATTATGAATTCTATATTCTGTTGGTTCCGTAAGCCTGCCGCTGATATGTTATTCTCTTTATCTGTCTCCCACTTCATGAAACTTCTTGGATTTCTTAAAAACAAGGCCCTTTTTATCTTAAGAGCCCCAAAGCCTCAATAAATTTTACTAAATAATTGAAAATAATGTGGTGTAGTCATACAGTGAACTATCAGCTGACAGTATAATAAAATGGAACTGGAAACATGATGCTAAATGAAGGAAGCCAGACATAAAAGGCCATATATTACATGATTCCATTTATATGAAATGTCCAGAATAAGCAAATCTATAGAGATGGAAAATAGACAGTGATTACCTAGGGCAGAGAAGGGGAGGGTGGGAGTGACTGCTGAGAAGTGATGTGGTTTCTTTAAGGGGCAAAGGAAATATTTTGGAGTTAGATAGCGGTGAAGGCTGCAGAACTCTTTGACTATATTAAAAACCACTGAATTGTACACTTTAAAAGGGGAACTTTATGATACGTGAATTGTATCTTAATAAAGCAGTTACTTGGCTAGCGGTCTGTGATTTCAGTGAAGCTTTATTCCAGGTGGGTTACAGAAATCCTCAGCACTTCCATACTCTTCGCTAGTTAAAAAGTCTTTTTAAATACACAGCATTTTGTCTTTTCTTTAATCAGGGTTATTGCAACATTCTTACACATTTATTACTGCATTCCTCATACCCTCTTAATCTGTGACTAAGAAATGTGAGCGTGATTTCTTTCCCTAAGTTGCATCTAATTCTTCTCTTCTCTCTTCCATCATTTTATAGGTAGCTAGGGACCTGGTTAGAATTCTTTTTCAGAATTTATCTGCTATTTTCCTTTTTTTCTGCTTGCCTATGATTGGCAGAGATCTCTCCCCTCACTGTCTCATTAACTAGGATGTATTCCACAATTGAGATTTTAGAATCTCAAGTTTCCTAGAATAGTATCTCATGGGGTAACTGTAAGAATCTCCAAATGATGGAAGATATTCTCTTCCCCCAAGATGAAGTGGCTTCTTCATTAGCAGTGAGATTTTGCCTTACTTTTTCAGTGGAGAATTTTTTTCCAGGACTGGTGATAGAAATGATAGCGCCCTCTTCATTCCTTCCAGGAATTTAGGAAAACAAGCCTTCCTTTAAGTTTAGTTACTGAGTTTTTAAGTAGTGTGAAGTTGTCTTTGATTCTCTTTTTCCTCCCCCACTTTCCATCATTTACTGAGCAGTATTGTGTAATGTAATGATTATGAAGGTAAGTCAAGGCCCTTTTGTTCCATTAGAGAAGATAGTAAGTATGCTAGTAACTTTCACATGGTGGTTCTCAACCCTGGCTTCATATCCCAGTCACCCTGGGGAGTTTTAAAAATATTCCAGTTCTTAGGGTGCACTTTCTGAGTGGTGGGGTCTGGTTACCAATATTTTAAAAATGCTTTTCAGCTGATTCCAAGGAGCAACCATGGTTGAGCATCCTTGCTCTAAAACAAGGTGTTACAGGATTAGCACTATGGAGTTCAGAGACGAGTGTATGCACTTCTAGCTGAATGTCAGAAAGGTCTTCATGGGTCAGGATACATTTGCACTAGTTCTCAAAGATGAGTGTGATTGGCAAGGCACTTGGGGGCCAGAGAGAAGAAACTGAGCAACAATGTGGAGCAAGGAAATAATGGGGCAAGTCTGAGTTGTAACCCACTCCAGGCAGCAGTGGGGAGAGTGTGTGAATACATTAATGGGAACTGAGATAGGCTAAGTGCCCAATCTCAAAAGGCCTTTAGTAGCCAGGTGGGGAGTGGGGGAAGGATCTTACCTTTCTTAGCACAAGAAAGCTCACTGTGGGTTTTAAGCAAAGAAATGGTATAATCAGACCAAACCTTAGGAAAATTATTGAGGCTTATGTCACTTTGCATGTGGATGGTGAGGAAGAAACTGCAGGTGAGGATGGGTCTGGGGGTTCCTAGTTAGAGCAGTTATGTAGTCTTGCTCTCGGATGTAACCTCGACTTGATTTACCAAAGTTCCTCTTTTTCATAATCAAGAGATCCAGAGAAATGAAATTACATTTCAAGTATAAGTTTTAAGGGGTAAAATCCTTTGTCACTGAAAAAGCTAGATGTCATAACAGAAATTTCCCATATACTCATCAACACAGACGAGGAGAGGCAAGGTTCTGGAGTCCTAAATGGGTAGCATCTGGCAGGTACTAGCTGTCTCTCAACCAGAGGATGAACCAGTGAGTCATTGTAGGGACAGATAAGAACTTCAGATCCAGACAGCTTCAGTTTCTGGGAAGATTTTCGAGAAGGAAATATATGACATAGATCCAGCAAGAAAAGCCATATTTTAGAGGAAGAAAAAGACAATCAATAATGGGGAAATGGTGGTGTGATGTCAGTAGCAAAACCTTGGCTGTTAGCATCTCTGTTGTCTACAGAGTTTAGAACTTTGATCCATTATGACTTCCTGTTTACTCCCTAAATAGTATTTCAAGCAGCAACCTTAGTGTTCATCAGAATCGAGTCTTAACACTTATTCCCAAGGGGTTTAAGAGTAGAGATGTGACTTCCAGGCTTCTCAGCTCCCACCAAGTGGTCATGTCAGAAGCATGAACCTGGCTTGTGAGAGCATATTGGCTCACTGGAACCACATAAAGGATAGTCAAGAAAGAGCCAAGAAAAAGAGGAGAATTGACAAGAACATGATTTAAATGTCTGGTCAATGTAATCAGTTTCCCCAAGGTAGTTGTCAATGGTCTAGATCTGAGGAGACCTCACATGAGCTATGAACTAAAGAATAAGAAAATGTAGCCACTGAGCAGCAAGGAGAGGAAATGTCCTTAAAAATTTTGAAAGTGTGAATTATTTTCCAAGACCAGATAATTGAGTTTTTTGATAAAAATAACTTGTTCAAACCATCTGTGAAAACTTCTGTTTTTTTAATTTGCAGTTCTTGTTTCCAGTAACTTTTTCCCCTGTTAACGGTACCTAGTGAAAAGTTCATGGTTTCTTATACATTTGCCTGCTCTCGTATAAACTGATGACGTGGTGTCCACTCACTGTCTCCAGTGCTCAGCTCACTGTGTCCAGGACGAGGCCTCACTGGAAGTGGAGAAGCAGGAAGGTGGTCTGTCAGATGCATCTAGACAGCAGTGCTTTGCGAGATTCAGGCTCCTTTAATAATTTGGTGCACATTATTTCTCTCCAGAAAAGCCTCCACAGGCACTAACGTTAGCATTTTGTAAGGTTGCTCTAGGGTTTGTGGCCCGTGGGTAAGAACTCTAGCTTTAGAACATGCTTTAGGATTTTGACTAGGCTCTTACTCTATGAATTAGTTTCACTGATGAGGCAAATCATTCATTTATCCAATAGATATTAAATGAGTACCAACTTTATGCCCGTTTATGGGATGTATCTGTGACCAAGATATTAAGAAATTTACATCCTATGTGGAGGTGGATAATAAGTAAAAAAATAAATTCAGGTTAGTATTGGCAACTGAGAGGAAAATTAAACAATCATGTGTCAGTATGGCCGTGTGGGAGAAAGTGTTTTAGACTGAGTGCTCAGGGCAATTGAGATGAGATCTAATTTCTTAATCATGAAAACTATAAATCAGCTGTTTCAGTAATGACTTTTAAGAAATCAGCTGCAAGATTAATATCAATTTCCTTCTTAATTTCTGTAAGTATATGGTACTTTGGGAGCACCTCTGCTCTAGTTGGATGCATTCATAATGTATAAAGCAATGCTGCCCTCTGGTGGTCATCAGTTTAACGGCATGCTAGCTTTACTTAGCAACTCTATTTCAAGGGTGTACCCTTTTTAGCGGCTTTTCTTAAAAATGGATGCCTTTTTTAGATTGCTTTTGAATTTAAAGGTTCTCTACAATTATAATGCATTTTAATATCTTATTTAAGCTTAAGTAAATGCTTGGGGTGGTTTTCTTTATTCAATAATATTTACACAATGGAAGGAATGATTACCTAGGAATTGGGAAGAACTCAACTCTCAGAACTGAAAGCAGATTAATGATATTGGAAAAATGAAACAGACAAGATGAATTGCTAATACAAGTGTGGAAAATCTGAGACTTGAACTTGTTCATCCAAACATCATTACATTAAATTCCCCATTCCAAAAGGCTTACATACCTTACAACACTTTTTCAGTAGAAAACTTTTTAAAAGAATGTGCTTTGGAATTTGAAAAGACAAATGATATTACATACCACTAGTGAACATTGTTAGTGAAACTTTATGTTAAACAATAAATTACCATTGAAATATGACCATAGTCTTAAGTTTAATATTCTAAATATTTGATCTCTTTTGTCTAAAAACCAATATTGTAACATTCTATTTTTTGCAACATGGATATTTTCTAGCTCTTTTCTAAATCTTTTATTGAAAGCTTTTTGGAATAATGATTTTTATCTCATAGTCATTTTTGTTTTCCTTTTTAATTTTAGAAAATATATATAACAGATTTGAGAAAGTATTAGGCACCTGACAGTTACGAAAAATTTAACTTGCTTTTCTAAACCCAGGAAAAATGTATTGTGCCTAGAGTCTTCTTTTACAGTGGTTTCTCTTTTTAAGGCCCTTGATTGGGTAATTTATTTCTGTTCTTGTAGTCACCTCAATAAGAGTAAAACTCATACAGATTGATAATTGGACATATTTCTTGTTGAATCTTTATCAGCTGATACATACAATTTTGAATTATTCACATTCCATTGTCTAGTCATTGTGTGCTATTTGAGTGCACTTAAAAAATGCAGTTGTGTAATTTGGTTTTGAATGCCCCATAGTGATTTTATAATCATGGCATAAATCACAATAAATGGTCTGAAATTATTTTTGACTAAAGATAATGTGAGTGGAGAGAGTATATAATTTAGCTGGACAGTGTGGATTTTTGTTTACATTTAGTTCACGGAAAGATATAAAAACTACATAGCCATTATTTCATCTTCCATGACCTTTTGCTGAATGGGACACTTTGAAGCTATGTGGTCTCTTATGCTTAGCTAGAGAATATGAATATCCTTTTATGAAGGTGGGCTGGTAAGAATTACAGGAACATCTTTGTAAAGACTTCAGTGGAAAAGAAAAAGGAGCCTCTCTGTATGTGGGACTTGTCATCTTGATATTCTCATAGATTGATAGCCAGGCCTTTATTTGAAGGAATGCTAGACTTTTACAATATATATGTGAATGTGTGTGTATTTGTTTTGTTTGCTGCTGATCAGTGATTCTCATTTAACTTTCAGTTCATACCAGCCTCAGCATTGCTGTACAGGTGTTGCATCTTCTCACGAATAGGAGAATTTACTGTGAGAAAATCTAGTTCTTGCAGGGATCATATCTAGATTTTTTTCACCTAGGAATAAAAATCAGATATTGCCTTAATAGACAACAGAAACTGAATCAGTTTTCAATTATAAAACGGAATCATTTTGATTATGGTATTTTAAATGTTGAGCGCAATTTCTACCTTGATTGAAATAACTTATGATAAACTTGACCTTCTTTAACCCCTAAAGAATTAAAAGTGCCACTCTTAGCATTCGTACTCTGTTTAAATGTATTTCCTCTCTTCCACTTTGTAAATATGATGGAAAATGTTGAGTATTTGAGAGATTTCTCTTTTTATTTTTGGAATTTAATGCTTAGTGGAAATAAAATCCCAATATTAGGATCATTATTGCTTTTCTAACAGTGGCTTCAACAGTCATATATAAGTAGCAGGAAAAAAGGGAAGGAATACTTAAGGTGAACTTTATAGAACAGCATGACATTGCCAGAAACTAATGAGCATCTAAAATAGAATGGAGTGGGTCATTTGGGGTTAGAACTCTATAGCTTTTCAGGAAGTCTTGGTGCAGATCCTTTTCTAAAGTTTAGTGGCTCCATTTAACGTTGCACAGAATGTCTTGCTGTTCTTAAAAGGCATGTTGACGAAACAGCTCTGCGTAGTTTCACTAATGTATATGCTTCATCAGTGTGTTCACTCTTTATGTTGCACTAGCCTGTAGCTTCTTATGACCATTTAAATTAACATGATAGATTCAGCCTCACTTTATGACATCTTAGTTTTTTTTTAAATAATAAAAGGAGTATTTCCCTCCATCTGCAGGTGCTGCTGTTTTTTCAAACGAAGGAAAAGGAAAACCATACAGCGCCACAAATGACTCTGGACACAGACCGATCGTGGGGAGTTACTTACATGTTCATCTGCTGTCTTGTGATTAAAATCATCTCTGTAGTGACCACATATATTTTCAAGGACTCACTCTTAGAAACAAAAATGTCATACTTTCATACTTCATTTTGTGGTTGTCTTACATTCATATTTTTTCTAATTTAACTTTTATGGAAGCTTTAAAGTTTTGTCAAAACACGAGTGCTTTGCCCATCAGTGACTGGAATGGACCAGTGAGGAGGTTGGTATTCATGAATACAGGTCTTTAGAACATTTTTCAGAAGCTCTCCTCCTGTCGTAGAAAGCAGTACAGTATCTTAAATGTCAACCAGTTATATACCTAATCTGGTTTTTTACGAGCATAATCAAACAGGAACTTTCTCCCCAGTGGATAATGCAACAGAGAAAACAGAGCTGCCCAAATCTTAAAAAGAAGTCATCCCTCGAGAAGGTCATTACCTGTGTGACATCTGCATTGATCTCACTGTTGCTGACGGTACTGCTGTTCATGAGTCATACTAACATTCTGTCTGTGAAATCATGGTACAGCCACTGCCCAGAGGTACTGAGGAGAAAGCTCCGTGGGTTCGGCAGGTGGTAGCGGTAAAACGAGTCACAAGCAGCGTGCGAGGCACGAGCTCCGCTTTGTTGCGCCACTCTGTGAAGTACAGTGTTGCCGAAGTGGCAAAAGCGCTTATTTTTTAAAAATGAAAAATATTTGTATAATGTAACTTTATGCTTCCAGGTAATAATGTATGTTAGGCAGAGAGAAATGAATACTTTGAGGGATGAGATATGTTGGAGTTTCTTTTTTTTTTTTCGAAGAATACACTAAGGAGAAGGAATAAATGTGAATCTCATTGCAGTGTATGAGGTTGAAGTCTAAGGAGATCCCACTGAAACCTGCTGCTGAATGATCTCATTCTCCTTAAGCAGAAAACTTCGGATGTGCCACGCAATGGTGTCTGTTTATTAATTATTTGCTCTTTGATTAAAAAAAGGACCCCTGGCAATAAAAGCGGGGTCACTCTGTTGCCCTCTGTGCACATCAGCCTCTGGTATTCAGCTTTGCTGGTTCTCTGGAATTTTCCTATTTTTAGCATAATTTTGATGACTGAAAACTATTTGGAGAGGATGGGTCAGGTGCTTTGTCCCCATAGTCTTTTGAAGTGCCTGCATATGAACAAAGTAACGGTTCTGTACAAAAGGAAACCCATTCCGCTTTTCAAGTCTGCTTTGTTTTAAGCCATAAAGACACAGGTGTACTATTGTCACAGTCTACTTACTAGTCAGAATTTTCAAGGAGAGTTAAGGCAAAAAGGCTGACTAGAAAATTATGTTGTTCAAATCTCATATTCACTGTTCATTTCTGAAATTGTTGCTCCTTCCACGCAGCCCCTTCTTTTTGTCTTTAAGTGCATGCCTCTGGGCATGCTTATTTATTTTTATTGTCTCAAGGTAACATTTAATATGTGTAATTAAAGTAAATAAATCTACATTTTTGACTCCATTATTGCATTTACAGGAATTTAATTGTACTTTGTAATTTATTTTTCTTATTAGCCAAAAGCTGAGCGCGTTGTTTTTGATGTTAGGCGCCCACATGAATACTGCAAATTGGGACATCGTTTATCATTGTTGCTCTGAATCCTATGAATGATCTTTCTAAGTTCTTGATTTTAAAGACCTACACTCAGCCTAGAAACCATTTGCTGTATAATTTGGTCAACAGTTTCCACTTTAACTATTTGTATACTGTCATGATGTCTTAAACTGCAGGAGTTCCATGCTGAGTTTGTATTTTTGTTTGCTTTGAGTAAGGTAGATGGATGTTTTGGCCATTATAATGTGAAACCACTTCCTTCTTTACAGTATTTGACCAAATTTGTGTGTCTATGATATTTGTAAATACATGCGATATCTGTATTTCTTATCATAAGCCTGTTTAGTTTTATTCTTAGTAGGGTTTTTGGACTGTACAGTGTTTATATGATCTGAACTCCTTATACATAAGAAGGTGTGTATATTAATCCAATTATGGACTTAAAATATTTTAAAAGTATAAATACCCTTATTTGCTGCAAAGACCAGTGTGTAGACATTTGCTTTTTAGCAATATTTTTAAGTGCTCCATTTTAATGCCAAGGAATAAGTCTTTTGGCAACACAAACTGGTCAATAATAGGTAATGCAGGTATGTTCAGGTTAAGCCAACAATGTTTTGCATTTTTATGCTTCTTTTCTGTCAACACTAATGAAGTCAACATTGCCTGAATGTCTGAATAATGAAACACATCCCTGTTTAAAAGTATGTAACTGAAAAAGAAATAAAAAATAAAGGTAGTTTTTTTAAACTTGCTCTTTCCCCTTTCCTCTAATCATGGGTAAAATAATGCTACTCACTAACTGAAGATAGGAATTTAAAAATTCAGTTCATTTAATTAGTGTATGTAAAAAGTACAGCTAAAGGAATATAGTTTTGTGGTTTTGATTTTGTTTGTTTTGTTGGAACCCCATTACAAAGTGTATATACCTGGAAGTATCTAAGCTTTCTTTAATGAAAAAGAAAAACTTTTTTATACTTCTCTGAACTCCTTATTAGAGCAGTTAATTAGAACTAATGCCACTAATAAACCAAGGGAAATAAACTGAATCATTTCATTCCTTTTAAAAAATGAAGTCATACTATTATGTTCACAGAAGTGAAATATTATTAATCCAGTTTTAAGTGAATGACTTTAACATCATTGCAGATGAAGAGCATATCTCTGTGACAGTATCTCACAGTTTATCATTGTGCTAGGTGCTTTAAGAGGTTTTATAAAATGGTGCTCTGCTTACGGATAGAGGCTAAAGGTGGGATAAGGCAGAGCAGCACACACTAAGCACCACCGCTCAGAAACAATAAGATCTGGAGATGAAACAACACAGGTGAAGCATGGGTTAAAAGGCTCTGTCTAGAAACATCCGATTTAAGATCAGGGTTCAGTCTGAATTGATTGTGTGAAATTGCATGAGTCAGCACCCTTTGATCTGCAAGTGATGGAGACCTAACTTGGCTTCAGCAATAGGCATGCACACTATTGCATTTAACTGCAAAGTTCAGTGTTAGAGTGGCTTCAGACATGCTTGATCCTGGTGCAGAGTCAGGAGTCTTTCTCTTTATCTCTGGGTTTTGCTTCCTACCCTGCTGTTCTCATTGAAGGGAGATTTTTCATGTGTGATGGTAAAGTGGCCACGCAGCAGCTTCAGACTTCTGCCGTCTTCTTACCCTCAGCCAAAACAAAGGGCAATTTGTCTCAACAGTTCCATCAAAATCCTAAGACTGATATTTATTTCTTCATTGGTTCATATGCCCAGCCTTGAGCCAATTACTGTGGCCAAGGGCCTGTTGTTCCCCTACCTTCAGAGGACACATTATACTGAGAAATGAGGTAGAAGGGGTGTTGCCCAAAAGAAAATGAAAGCATTGTTACCAGATGGAGAGTGAATAGATAGAGCACAGGCAAAACCTAGATACCTGCTGTCATGGCGAGAAAAACAAAATAAAGTACACAGGCAAGCCTAATGGTTTTAAATTAGGAAACACGTCGATAGTGTTACTGAGACTTGTTAATCTGAATATATTTTAGAAGTCACTGATACAGTGAATGAGTACATTTGAAAAACGTTTTGGACTCAGGTAAAAATGGAGGTCATAAGTACACTACTTGATGTGCTTTTGTTTTTGTTTAGTTTTAAAGGTTTTTGTCAGAATTGGATTAATAGAGTTAAAAGCTAATCTTTCTGCTAGAGTAGAAATAAATGGAATTACGTAGCGTTGTGGATGTTCAGGATAACTAGTTTCTTTGCTGTCCATCTGTAATACTGATACACATTATTTTCTTAGGAAATTTACTTTGTAAGAATACATGGATCATAACCAAAGAAAGGACTATGTACAGAAGTGTTATCAGGTAATACTGCTGAGATATGAAAGTGGTTTTAGCGAGAACAGTTGTTCACAGGGATGTTCACCATACTGTGATTTTACTTAAGTGGAAAAACGCTCCTGCACTGCTCTAGCCTAGGGGTTGGCAAACTTTTTTTGTAAAGATTAGGCTTTGTGGGCCAAAAGGCAAATTTGGGGGCTTTATATACTTGTGTAATGAGAAAGGAAACAAATTTCCACTAATTTTCTATCAATGAAATTCAAAATATATATGGACACTTGAGTAAAAACTTTTTTTGTAATTCAGGTCTAATGATAAGAATTGAATTATTTTGAGGGGATAATAGTTCTCTTAATTGGGGTTTGAAATCGATTGCAAATGTTCATCTGTTATGCTGATCTGTAATGTGATTTTACATATTTCATCATTGAAAATGTCTTCATGCAGATAGGTACTACCAAATACTGTTATCAGTCCTCAAGTGTATGATTTTAATTGAGCATTTTCATCATTTGGAAGGTATTTATAGAATTCCCTTGGGTTCTGCTCTTGATGTTTGCTTTTTGTCATAACATTACATTGCAGACTAATCACTTCCTATTGAAAGTTAGGTAGATGCTCTTCATTTGTACAGTTAAGTGGATTTCGAAATGTTGAAATTTCCTGTGCATTTGGATTGAGATCCAAAAATGTAGCTGGAACTGTAGCTGAGTTTGGAAAACATCCACTGCAGATCTGTGTGGGAAGGGATATCTTGCTGGTTGTTTTAACTTGACAGCATGGAAAGTGTATAAGGCAGCTTGACATTATTTGTGATTTAAACAGCATCAGTTGTCACTGTAATGACTTTGTTGCAGTATAAATTTCATGTGTAAGTGCTGTTTTACCTTGTATTTTTAAGTTGAATTTATTAAGACACATTATCAAATCTGCAGCAAGAGCTGATCTTCAAAGCCATCCAGTGTTCATTAATAATAGATGGGGGTGATTTTCATTCAAAGAAAATTCAGTGTTGATCCTGAGCTCAAAAAATTGCAATAAATCTTTACCACTGCTATCAAACTGCTATGTAGTTGGGCAAGTCAGGATAATCTGTTTCTATTTCTAATAAAACTTAATGGAAATAATGATAGTTAAGATCAGAAGGAAATTTGCCACTGATTTTACTAGTTCAGTAACATGACAGATTCAAATACCTTCCACAAAATACCTGTTGATGTATAAAGTATAAACACTGACTTTAAACATTTTACATTTTCACAAGCTTTGTAAATTTGCTCAGTAAACCTTTTTCTGCTCCACATTATCTTTACCACCATTATGTTACAACACTTCTTAGTAGACTCTACTTCAGTTTGCACTGGTGTTTCTCAAGTTCTTTAAAAATACTCTTTCTTGTAGTTGTTTCATGGCGACTATTCACTGAGGCTTATTTTTGAGTCAGTTCAAACTTAATATTGACTTCTCTAGTAATCAACAACTGGGCAGTATTGGTAACGTCTACTGAGTCATCAAAAGCCAAATCATTTGCCTTGTGTTTTAATTGACTATTGGTGTCTTCAAGTAACTGTCTTTGCTAAAAAGCTAGTAGTCTTCAACATGTTTGTTTTCTCCAGATACACTTTTTAGCTCCTGCAATCAAACAGTTTAATTATCCTTAACTCACCATCAATAAATAGCTTTCTTTGCTTGGCTAACAAATGAACCACTTGGAAAGTAACTTTGACTGCACCCTCATTCTCTTTTTTTGTGTTTGAATAAATTCTACTGTGATGAGATAGTCTGTTTCGAAGTTTTCTAATTGTTCTTACTGTTGCTTTCCTGTGAGTTGGGGATATTGTGATGAGTGCTTTGTCTGGTAATGTGAAAATAAATTGTATTCTTTTAGCACACTAAAGTGTCTTTGCATAATAAACACGATGCTTTGCCATGTAATTGTGTAACAAAATAATCCACATTCCACTGTGCCTTAAAGCGCAACACTCAAAATTCACTTTTCTTTACTCTTTTTACATGATTAATATGCACTAGTAATAAAAAAATTATAAAATGTCTATGACAATATGTGTGGCACTTGAAATGCTGTCAAATTATAACTGCATCACCGAGATTTTGTAGTGTGTTGAACAGCAGTGTAAAGCAATGAGAGCACCACATATGGTCTCTGTCACAACTATTCAACTCTGCCTTTGTAGCATGAAAGCAGCCATAGACACTATGTAAATGAATGAGCATGGCTGTGTTCCAATAAAATTTTATTTATGGACACTGAAATTTGAATTTCTTATAGCTTTTATGTGTCATGAAGTATTCTTTTGATTTTTTTCGACTTTAAAAATGTAACTATCATTCTTAGCTCATGGGCCAAAGAAGAACAGGAGGTGGACTGGATTTGACTTGCAGACCATAGTTTTTCACCCTCAGTTCTAGACCACATTGGAAGGATTTGGATGTTTAAGGTAAATCACTATTTTTTTACCTGTTGAGTTAACCTACGTATCAAAAGATAACATTTCTCCACCTTATAAAAGAAAAGACTATTTTGAAATAGCATTGAAAATTATGATATTGTTAAAGAAAATGCATCACAGCACATATGAGAGTTAGAAATAAAACAAGTAAGATAATTCTGGCTCCCATATGAACTTAGATGTAGAAGCCATGCATGCTCTTGGAAAGAGCATACATTTGGGGTTCAGACAAATTTAATTTGATTCTCAACTTCTTGCCTTGTCAGAACTGTAGCAAGTTATTTGACTTCTTACATCCATTTCCTCACCTCATATTGGACTAATACCTTTTTTGCAGCACGTCTCTGAGGTTTAGCAATACTATTTACAATAGCTCTCAATGCAGGGTGCCATTTACCATTACTCTCATGATAAACTACAATTGAAAACTGAGCAACACCTTGATTTCTCATGCAGCATGTGTGCTTCTGCCCTTTGAGACAAGAATAAGGTCTGGTATTACTGAAATTTGTCTTAGATTGAAGCCATCATTCCTATATGTTTTAAAATATTTGCACCCTAATTCTATCACATTGCACCATTGGCTATTTTGAATTAAATTAATGGCATTGATAAATTCAAAATCATTAATTCAATATACCCTTATTGAAAAAAATGATGAATGGTAGAGGGCAAGGACAAAGCACTGTGCCAAGTCACTATAATCCTACCTTAAAGTCAATGTTAACCCACTGAACCTGTAACACGATGCCTAAGTGGTCTCTCTAGTGTATGGTAGGTAGTCCTTCAGCACCTGAGCACTATTAATTATTTATATTTGTTATGAAATCCAGGTGAGCCACTTAGCCCTCTTCCTTGCCCTCCCATTCTCATGATGCCATCTGGAAAGGAGCTGGATTTTTGTAATGTCTTTTCCTAGTGAACCCATGTTTACTCCTAAGGATCACCAGT